ATTTGATCAAATAAATCATTCTTTGATTTGAATTTGATCAAATCAAATCAAATATTCAAATATCAAATCGAATTGCGAAACCCTAGTATCAAGTATCAAAAAAAAGGTACAGTTGTCTAAAATAAGAAATTCTTGTGCTGATCTAATGTTTATTATTATTAGATGATGATAATAAAATCAAGGAAAATAATGAATTAGTAAGTAATTCCAATCATAAAATAGGATATTGTAAGATAATTAATAATAAATAACTAATAAATAGAATGTTGAGATTATTGGTCCAACCAATCTACCAATGGATACTATCCTAAAATCAAAAAGGTATTACTTTTTGTAAATGATTTTCTAAGCTGTAAATATTACTAGCATGTTCAAATTATTCTTTTAGTCATGAATTATTTTATAAAGGATAAGTGCTAAAAGAGAATCAAAAGATTAGGATCCCAGTGAAAAGAATCATACCTGAAGTACAAGTGCTACTTGAATGTATGTTTCATATAGGAATAGCTAATCTTAGACAAATAATATCAGCTAAAGAGATGCGAGATAAGCTATTACGTTGTGAACATGAAGGAAAATTAACTTGGATGATATTCTTAAAGAATCAACTATTAGCAACTAGATCACAACATTACATTTTCATGTAAATGGAAGCAATCTATGATTTTTAGAAATATGGAAGAAGCAGAAAATACTTAAAAATAGCAAAATATCATGGATCGTAAAGAAATAAACAAATTTATTACTTCAAATTTATACATAAAATACTATATATGCATTTTTATTATAATAAATATATAATAAAGAAAATTTAATAGTGTTATTTCAACAAAAAAATATGCTAAAAACATATAAATAAACTTATTACATAATAATATTTGAACTAATTACTTTAGAAAGCATGAATTGAGAAACTCGATTATCATATAAGAAGGTCTATCCAGACTAATCAGCAACAATTGAGATGATATGTCTTTGTTAAATATAACATTGCATAGACAGAATATTTACTACAGTATTAATATCTTTAATATATATATCTAAAGTATGAAAATCATTTTTCTATAAATCTATTAGAATGATATCCTTCATTAAACGAAGATTTTATTTCTCTTTTAACCTAACATCATAAGTATGAATGATTAGTTCATCTAATTTCATATCATCAGTAATCAAATGAAATCCTTAACGTCAATTATGCGAAAAGCTATAAAGCTTTATAATCTTTTTTAATATTATTTTTAATCAATCAATTTAGCATCTACTAATACAGGATTATGTGCATTAATCTATAAAATTGCATGCTGTATCATAATTGGATTCATTAAAATTATCACCAAATGCATAGCAGTTAATGTAGTAGTCGTATTTAGCATCCGTTTCATATGAATATTATGGTAGTCATCAATATTTAATACTATTACATTCTTATTGCATTCAGAAAATGCAGAATTGATAATGTTAATATGTTCATCAGATATTGATATCTAATTATGCAAGATGTTATAGCTATACTTAAGTCAGCAAGAGTATCTATGAAAATATTAGGAGAACCGATAGAGTCTAAATATATTGATAGATTTCTTTTTGCATTATTCACGAATTTGTTACAGATTCCACAGAGAAAATAACAAATAAATAGCAGCTGTTTTTTCACTTGTATTTGTGAATTCTTATTTTTCGATGATAGTATAGATGACTACCATATGGTACTACTTTTAGGACTAGGGTACTAATTAAATAATATTTTAGGTTTTATTTAAATAGTATTAGGGGTATTATGTAAGGAGATGGGTACTATATAATGGGTATTATAAACAGAAATTATGTGATCAGTATAATATTATAAACACGTATAAAGAAAATTTTACCTTTTTTCTTTATTCAACATTTCGCTTTTACACAATATTTTTCTAATACTTTTTTATACAAAGAAATAGTTCTATTAGCAAATAAAAATTCTAATTATATTAGAATGACAGAAAAACTGCGTCGACAATAAAACATATATGAGAAAAATGCAATTATTACATATCACGAAAAAGATTATAGTAAAAGGAGTATATATAGTATAATAAATCATACAATCATGTGATTATAAATTCATTTTGATATATTTCCATATTTTTAATTAAAGTTTAAAAAAATTTCAAAAAATATATGTTTTCAATGCATCCATAATGAATTTGACATTCATCTAAAACTATAAATGATAATTGCAACGATTTTTATTAGTGAACTGTTACATTCTTAGAAAAGTACTTTAAACTAATTAGAATCAATCGACCAATCACGTGATAGTCCTCCTATGATCTTCTGTATATAATTTCAGATTCTTTTCAGTAGTCATAAAAATGCAATTGTCTTCTATATGTCTCAAAGCTCTTAATTACTGTGGTAAAACAGCTACATTATTCTTTTATTATAGTAAAATGCTTGCATAACCTAACGTTTGTTAAATATGTAGCATTTTGGAAGTCTATAGATAAACCTTCACTAAATGAGTTCTTAGAGTTTTGATTAAAAGCTGGCAATTTGAAAAATAAGAATATAGAGCACTGTTAATACAAAAATGAATTAGAAATCATTAAAAATCACTATGATGAAAATCTGGAAATGGAGGTAAAGATGATAAAGTAGTTAATACAATTTAAGATAAGTATACTTGTTAATTGATTTAATACTGTTCAACATTATACTGCTTTGTGACTGGCAGTAAATGTCTATAATTTGCCTACAATAAAGTTATTATTCTTTTCTAACTTAATAATTTTTAAGAATAATAAATTATCAGATCAAATAGACTATTTTTGGGATCTTCATATTAAAAGAAAAAATTTTCAAATAGAGTTACAGTTGTTTTCTGAGAAAAGTAAATTAAATGAAATGAAACAAGTAAGATTAATATTTTCAAAAATAGCTTTCTGTTTGGATAACATTTCCTAATAATATTGTATGTAATTTAACGAAGAACGAACTAAGGGACCAAATCAATCTTGAACAGGTTAGTAAATTGACCCGAAATTTAGTTTCCATCTTTATTTGACATATTGAAAAGATCATTTTTAGTCACGATATATTCTAGACTTGATAAGAGAAGTCTGGTCTCAAAGTACCTTATTACAAAAGAAGATTACAAAGCGTTTGTTAATGAGACTTGTGAGCTAATTCATAATAAAGATGATTGGTCAGGAAAAAATGTAATGAACAGCCCTTCAAAGTTTTGATCTTTTTTTGATTGATATATCTTATTGGAAGATAAAATAGTTATTATTTTAACATTTGACTCCAACAAAAATTTCTTTTAACAATAATATATTGTATTTATGATTGTCTTAAGAAAGAGAATTATCAACCATGATACTAAGAGAACAAAAAAGAGTTTGTTATGCTAAGAGCTCACCAGGGATTAATTCGCTGAAATTAGATTACAAAGAATTTGAGGTAGATAATTGAAATTTTTTTATGTTTTATCTTATAATTCTAATATTATTTTTAATATATCAAGTTTATAAAGAAATCTATAACAAACCAATATGTTTGTGAAGTATATAATTCTTGCGAAGGTACACCATATCCTATAACTAAAGATGAGCACCATAATTAAGAAGTTGCAACTTGGTAGGTTGCAACTTCTTATAAATTTATTTTAATATAAAAATTCATAAATAATTGCAACTCAAAAAGTTGCAACTTAAGTTGCAACTAGTTAAAAATTTTAAAAATAATTATGGAAACCATCTTTACCCACAATACATAAAGTCAATTCTTTTATCATAACACCAAACAAGCCTATCATAATGAATGTATCATACAATCAATACTCTATGCATATGATTTGTGCTTTTGGGTCAATATTACATCTTGTTAAAGAAACCACTGAAAAGCAAATTTATGAAAAAATCGAGAGAATTATTAAAATGCGAGACATATCAGTCCTAAATAACTCAATTATCAAAAAACTTGAAGTAATTTACAATCAGATTATTCTGTAATTACTTCAAAAATAATGGAAGAGATTAGATTTGAAGACAATGAAATAACAGAGGATGTAAGGTTCTTTTTTTTATAAGGAACACTCTACTAGACTTTATCGCAATGTTCAAGTTTTTATCATCTAAAGTTATAAGTCAAAATATGTCTGAAAGATCATACATTGTTGAATGTCTTTACCAATACTTCGTGCTTTCAGAAATTCTTTTCCTGACATAAAATACGAGTGGATTGAAAAGGATGTTAGATCAATAAAATATGCAAACAACATCTTTTTGTGTGATATATAACCTCGAAAATGGATTTATTAATTTTGAGGTTATATGCAACTGAAATTTTAGATATTGTAGTTTCTAGACCACCATTTAATTCTACTAAAAAACACACAGTTGAAGATGCAAAAAAATTACTTTTGATATCTGTTTGCAATTTGTGTAAAATATTCACACATAATTTTAATTGTTCAATTGAGGATGCAAAAGGAGTTAGGACTTATTGCATTCAAGCAATAGGTGATAGGCTCATATTATTTACTACTTCCCTTATTGATAAAAAGAAGTATTTATCCATTGAATTGGCTTCATGTATAATACTTTTTTCATTTAAAGCTATCATATTATATACAAGAATCTTTAATTTTTTTGCAATAATCTAAAATGAATTTGTTGAACAAGAAAAAATACAAAAAAAATTCGATCATATATTCTTTCAACTGTTAATAATAGTGAAGATTTATAGGATTGGATACATCAACCTGATGATGATTTAACAGCTGTAATAGAAAATGATATAGATGAGTTCTTTTTATATTAAGAGGCTTTAGTTGCTTTAGTTTATATTATAGAAATCATATTAGGATATATTTCTGACCAGTCTAATGGTATTTGCTTATTTTAAATGGCTAGTTAGAATGGCTAGTTAAATTTACAATGTTATATGTTTTAATAAAAAAGATGTTTTTTTCTCTAACGTAAAAATAAAACAAAAAAAAAACTTTTAAGTCATGTTAGAACAGTAGGTGATTTTAGTATAAATATATGTAAAACATCAAGAAATTAATGTAATGATGAAATAGTTTAATTAAGAGATAATATAGTACAGTAGTCGCAGTGGAAAGATTTACAGTTTGTCATTTTGATTTACAAATTGAAATGAAAAATGTATCATAAATTAAATAAGTAGGAATTTAATTGATTGATTTATTATGTATAAACTTTAAATAAATTCTTAAAAATTTAAACTATATTAATTTTTGACATCATTTATATAGAAGTTTTGCAATAGAAAGATACGAAACTCTAAAAAAATTTTTTGTTATTGTTAAATCTCATATTTAGCTTAGAAAGTAAAATTTTAATTTTTTGAGTTTCATAATCTAATTTAAACATAATAAATAATTTATTACATATAAATTTCTCACAGATTATAAAATGTTAATAAGAAGATGTATGTATATATTCATATTGTTGAGCTATTTTTATACATGCAAATGGATTACTTACAATTTATAATACCAAGTACGTCACTAGTCTAATGATAACAAATTGGTATCCAGTTAGCCTGTCCTATTAGATGTTGATTGAATACTAGTTAATAAGTATTGTATAATATGTATGAGTGCCTATTTTGGCTGATTAAATCAGCACACAATAATGTTTACAAATCAGGACACAACCAGTTAATACCAGATTATAATAAGGCTGCATTATTGGCTTTTTTTTAGCTATTAAACAATATGCTATTTAGATTTGCACTACTGAATCAGGATTGCCACACTTCAAATCTTTTTTGAATATTTTTTTTAAGTGTGGTAGCTTCGCATGATCTTTATTAAAGTAAATAAATTTATATAAAAATATAAAATGAGAAAGAAAATACAAAAACTTCTATTTAATCTAATCTAAAATTAAAAATAAATCATAGTCAATCTTGCATCATTCTAGACTAATAACCCTTTTAAAAGAAAAGAAAATTTAACTATTCAGAGCAAGAGACTTAGTTGCTACTTATCCAAAAATTTGATCAAGATCTGTCATATCTAAAAGAGGAAATGAAGAAAAAAGAAGGGATTGAGGGAAGGAGTAAGAAAAGCTGCTTATAATCCAATTGAATTGTTTATCTAGAGATAAAATATTAGCAAGTTCTTCAACTTTGATAAAAAGTTCACATTTTTGTTTCTATAGATACTTATTTTGTCAAAAGTATGATTGTAAATATATGAAAAGAGTTATATCAATATTATTAATAGTAGTATAAATACAGTTATAGAAATCAGCAAAAACTATACCTTTAATTAAATCAATAAAGCAAAATTTTAAGAAATTGAAGTGAAAATTTCAAATGGATGCTAAAAGTAGATGTTAGGGTTTTGCAATTTGATTTGATATTTGAATTTTTGATTTGAAAATCAAATCAAATACAAATTCAAATTTATATTTGATTCGATTTAATCAAATTCAAATCAAAGAATAATTTATTTGATCAAATTCAAATTAATGTTTGATTCAATTCGATCAAATTCAAATCAAGTATTCAAATATTTGATTTGATTT